ATTAAAAATAGAGAATATTTGTAGAACAACTGTTCGTATATTTTGGGGTCACCAAGCAAGTAATGGCGAGGTTAAGCTTAAGGTACTAGATAAACATGACAAATCGATTAATAGGGTATAGAAACTCCATCAACTGAGGTGTTTGCTAAATGTGTTAAATAGACTGAAACACTGTATATCTCGATCAACTGTGTTGTTTAGTGTAAGAGTATGTCTAAATAAAGCTAGAAGTGACCAAATCAAGACATAACATCAAACTATGTAGTTGTTGAAAATTGTACCGAGTCATGTTGTTATATGTGGACTAATTAAGTGAGATCTGGATGACTGGGCAAGAATCATTCATAATGGTACTGATGAATTCATTACATATCTTCTTTCAGAACATGAAATTTGAAATCCCCTTATATATTTCCATTTTTATTCTATAACTCATCCTTTCTTCTACTACTAATACTATGGCCCCAAGGCTTGTCTTAAAAAATCTTGTATCGCTGTATTTATGCGGTACAGTAACTTAAATCATAACATGCATTCCAGATTCTACGTTGCATATGACTGACTGGCTGAATAAAGAAACTAAGTGATTAATGTAAACGTCTGAAATGCAAAACGATTACTACTAGTCGAATCGGTAAAAATATTAAACATAATAAAAGTACACATGAATATGATATTTACGTTTATCTGACGTGACCCAGTAGACAAAATGATTAATAATATTATCGTCATCACTATTATTATTACGATTACTGTTATGATACAGTGGTTGTTAGGAGGTAATTATTATGAGGGAAAAATGAATTGAACAATAACCGTTTTTCCAATAGTTGAAATCATGGGCCAATTGAAGCTAGACCACCATGGAAAACCTGGAAGCACTGAACGGCCGTTTCGTCCTAGCACGGGACTCCTCAACAGTACGCATCCACCACCCCGCCTCGTGAGATCCGAACCCAGGACCTGTCAGTCTTGTGCCAGGCGCTTAACCAACTAGACCACTGAGCTGGCCGGTATCCAGTGGTGTTAATGTCTAACTTCAGCTAATCCGCGAAACTGAGTGACGCATCCACCAATGTCATCAGTGAGTTCCTATCTCACAACTGACCCAGCTGAATTCCACTGGTCTAGCTTCAATTGACTTATGATCTCAAATATTTAAATTACTACAATCTCCACCAAACTTCTGATAATAATAGTTTTACAGTATAAATTAGTCTGATGGAAAGACTTTAGTAGTTATTGTCTTTGATATTTTTAAGTGAATAAAACAATAGAAACCTATCACCTTTCAATAGTACTCGGCATATGACAGTGATCATTGATTGGATTTATGTTTTTTTATTTACTATTCAATAAGTGAGGTAATAATTAATTGTTAACAGACTGAAATTTTGTTTTATATAAGCAAAGCGGATCATGTTAAAGGAAATAATCATTGATTTGCCAAATCTTTCTGTTCCCGTAAAAATAGTTGAATCTAATAAATACAACTGAAAGTCATCAGTCTATCGTTTGACTATCTGCATTGTCAATATACTTTAGTTGGTATAGACTACATATAGTATTGAAGTGAGTATTACTGTTTAACACTTATATATTGTAAATATTGTTCCTGACAATTTAACAACTAAATGGTCTTCAACAATAATCATAATACATAAAACCTTTTTGTGGTTATTTAAAGGAAACAGTATTTTAAAGCTCTATTTCTTATGACAATCATTATAATCATTATTTTGGTCTTCATATCGGCACAAATAATTCTTGTTCCAAGTATAAAATTAACGTTAAGTATAAATCAACCCCTAAATGCCATGGTATGGTTAAGAGTGATGAAAGTTAACTCTCCCTCTTAAAATGCTTTCATAAGGCCACGTGCATACAACCACTGCCAGTGAAGTCCTACTCACTGTTACTTACGAAATTGAGAGAACAAAAAGTGAATGTTTGGCGTTTTAACCAGGTTGTCAGATATGAAGGATCCACCTGGGGGAGTTGGAAAACCCTCATTCTAAACCAATGGTTTACATGGGTTTCAGGATCTTAAAGAAACAAATGGCGTATGAACCAATTGTTGGTCACCAGCTACCATGTGACTGAATCTTCTAAAGTTTCTCCACTGCCTTGTGGATTAGACATTTAGTTCAAAGGCTTGGGGTGTGGCCCGCTTAGTAGACTACCTACTTCGGTTTGAGCACCCGGGCAGTATCCCAGCATACACACAAATCGAATGATTTATGTGGCACATATCTATTTGGTGCCTTCTCGTACCATATATGAACATATTCTACTTAAATCAGGCAATATACTCTATAGTGTGTCATAATAACTATCTGTTTTAAATGAAATGAAAGTTTGTAGTGTATTAGCGATTCAGATTTGAAGATTTTTTGAAAAAAAGTATGAATGTTTTTATATTTCTATTGTTTCTAGTCAATTACAACATAACAAAAATAACCCCTTAGTTACTACATCTTTTTTTGATTTGTATGGAAACTAAATTCTTAATTAGGTATTGCATAATTATATTTCATTAAACACCCCATTGGGTTAAAAAAACACTTTTTTTCTAAACAAACAAACTATTTGAAATACAATGTTGTATGATAATATTCTTTTAACATAAGGACGAAACGGTCATCTAATGCTTTCAGGTTTTCGATGGGTTTCTAACATTGATCTATTCATGATCTTAATCAAATATTCAATAATCTTCATAATCCCATACTTAAAATAAGTACTTTATAGTTTTAAAACTTGGAAAATGAATAATCCCACCAAACAAATCTATACCATTTAATCTGTAAAGATGAATAGTGGCTAGCAGTGGAATCAAGGACGTGTGTTTCGTCCAATAATGGAAAGATAAAAGAAACTAATACCATGTGAACTGAATTTCATCTATAGTTCGTATTTATTTAAATGTATAAATTTAGTTTCATTGAAAAAATATTTTTTTAAAAATTATTCCAACATTTCTCTGTACAAACTAGTTACTAACGAAAATTCCTGAAGAATCATACAACAATTTGTGGGGACGGGGGCAGTTTAATGTTAAGATGAGTTAAATTTTACTCGTCAAGTTCATTTTAAATATAATTTATACATTAAATATTTGGAATTCTTAAGGGGAAACGAAAAAGAGGAAGATCGAAGAACAGCCTGTGACGAGAATCGGAAGCAGATATGTATAGGATAAAAATAGCAACTGAAAACAACTTGAAAAGATTACCTAGGACAGAATTGGATGAGCAATGCTGTTGGGTGGCTTATGCTCCTCTATGAGGGGTAACAGGTATAATCTGTGTACTTGGCGCTTTCAAATCATCATAAATGTTTACATAAAACGCATATATATTATAATTTTTCAATGTTTTCTGTATCTATGTATACTGGATTTTTCACTTAGTAAATATAAATTTACAAGTTATGTATTGGTTTCATCAAATTTAATGTAATAACATTGAAAGAACTTAATAAAACCAAGATGTACTTTTTTTTACTTTTTATGGAGTTTTGTTCTCTGACCTGGATGGTTTGATCGTGGAGCTTTCATCGTTCATCTGTATGACATCATCAGCACAAACTTCAGGTAGAAGTGAAGTTTTTTAAAATAAATAATATGATATAAATTAAAATAACGTTTAGGAAGAACTGATATCAAATTTGGGGGCAGAACAGAGTTTACACCGATCCTAAACAACTATTGGATGCCGGTCAGCTCAGTGTTCTAGCGATTAAGCGTTTGTGCGCAAGACCGAAGGTCCTGGGTTCAAGTTCCTTTAGTGTGTGATCTTAGATGCACACTACTGAGAAGTCGTATACTAGGACTAAACGTTCATTCAGTGCTTCCAGGTTTTTCATGGTGGTCTACCTTTTATCGACTCATGAATTCAACTATTAAAAAGTCAAAATTACATTTGTCTTTTTGTCCTAATTTAGATAAGTACATCATCATGAGTTTCTGTTTAACATTCTAGAAAAAAAACAATCAAGTGTTAGACTACATTTAAAACACGGATTAAGATCATCTTATGAATCACTGAATATTATGTAATATTAATCAATAAAATTTTCAACAATACCTCAGCTATGATAGTACATGAAATACAGTCTAATAGTTTCTGTTTTAATAGTTGAATTTATGAGTCAATTGAAGCTAGATTACTATGAAAAACATGAAAGTACTGGACGACTGTTTAGTCCTAGTATGGAACTCCGCAGCAGTACGCAACCAAGATTCTGCTGGCGGGTTTACATTAAGTTGAAATGTCAATGACAAATATATTTTTTTTCAATGGTTGTAATCATGAGCCAATTGAAGTTATACCACCATGGAAAACCTGGAGTCACTGGACGTCCGATTTCTCCTAGTATAGAACTCCTAAACAGTACGTATCCCCGATCCCGCCTCGCTAGATTCGAACCCAAGACCTATCAGCCTCGCGCCAGGCGCTTAACCAACTAAACCACTGAGCTGGCCGGCATCTAACGGTGTTCTGGTCTAACTTCGATTAATCCATGATATTGCGCCACCATACATCATTATCTTTAATTAGTTACTATCTCACAATAAACCTGGTTAAACTCCACTGGTCACGGCTTCTCATTAAAACTCTAGGAAATGCCTCTTGAAGTCAGTCACTAGTGAGCACATGGTGATTATTATCAGAAGGGGTTTTGTGGAGCTGGCTTGAAATGACTCATGATTTCAGCTACTGAAACTAATAAAATCTACACAAAACCCTTTCTGATATATTTTTTTAATTACTAATGTTTTCATAATCATTGTAATTATTTAACTCTATTATTAAAATCAGCTGAGACTCATTTCATTTATCATTATTATTATTATTATTATTATTATTATTATTATTATTATTATTATCTATTACAATTAGATATTTACAAAATCTATTAATCTATCATTATAAAACTTTAATGTTACATAATAAAGAAAAATAAAACATAATTAACATTTAATACAAATAACTTACATAAACTATATTCACAATATTTCTTAAGGCTATTTGTTCACAATGGCAAAAAAGGGAGAATTTTGTGAAAGATTTCAGAGTAATAGGTATATATATATATTTATATGTACTTATATATCTAGTTCTTAATTGTGTTTTTACAGGGGTGGGAGTAAAGACATAAATATTTGATCTACAATGAAGAAACATGACCATCACTTTACCACAACGACCAAAACCACCACCACCACCACCACCATCATCATCATCATCACTGAGAACAACACAAGCGAACAACAATTGACAAATGAGTGGAATAAACAGGAAAAAAATAGACTGTATTTCAATTTATCCACTAATAAATGATTATTTTATGTGAAATAAGAAATAATATCAATAATAATAACAACGACAACAACAACAACAACAACTAACACATTTAATTTTCATTCTACCACTTATCATATGCGTAGGTGTATTTCCTGTCGTTGTTTCTTTTATTTTGATGAATTATTATAATGAAAACAAAAAGTATTTAAACACTTTATGATATAGTGGTTTATAAAACTTCATGTTATCTGATTCTAGTTTCGTTTTCTAGATTATCTTAATTTGAGTCTTGTGTTATTACTGACTGTAATCGGTTGCTTTCTTTAAAAAGAAATATATAAGTGCATTTTGTACGCTTGTTAGGTTGTTGACCCTATTGTTTCTTTTGTTCTTCTCTTTTTTTAGCTCTCTCTCTCTCTCTATCCGCTCACATTATTCTGCATACCGTTCTAATACACACAAAATACTCTGAGATGGATGGCTCAGAGAACGAAACTTCACCAAAATCATCCAACTGAGCTATAAATCTTCTCCACCATCTCAAAATTCAAATTAATTTATGGCTAGATGACAATCTATACACATTCAAATGATTATTATATTCAGAAGGGGTTTTGTGGACATTTTAGAAATTGCACTAGTTGAAATCATGAGTCAATTGAAGCTAAACCACCATAGAAAACCTGGAAGCACTGGATGGCCGTTTCGTCCTAGCAGGGGACTCCTCAGTAGTGCGCATCCACGATCCCGCCCCCGCGGGATCCGAACTCGGGACCCATCATTCTTGCACGCGAGCGCTTAACCACTAGACCACTGAGATGAGCGGCATCCAACAGTGTTAATGTCTAATTTGAACTAATCCACGAAATCGGGCCACCGTACACCATTGTCTTTAGTGAGCTGATATCTTACCACAGTGCTTCCAGGTATTCCATGGTAGTCTAGCCTCAATCGACTCATGATTTCTTCTAGTGAGATTGTTATAATCGTTTAAAACGGTGGGATAAAGTGTGTGTGTGTGTGTAAAAGGAGAGAGAGAGAAAAGGAGAGAAAAAAGTTATTAGTATTGTCACTGGTAGTGTTGTGTCATTAAAGGTGTTGTTCCTCGTAAATATTTTGCTGTTTATGATGTTAAATACATGAAAATGTGCTTTATTACGTAAATTAAATAGAAAACTTTCAAATTAAATATTGAAATTACCATAATATTCACAAAAACCCCTTCTGATATTAATCAGCATATGCTCACTAGTGACTGAATTCAAGAGGCATTTCCTGGAGTTCTAATGAGAAGCCGTGACCAATGGAGTTCAATCGGGTCTGTTGTGAGATAGTAACTCATTAAAGACAATGGTGGACGGTGGTGCAATGTCGTAGATTAGTTGAAGTTAGACATTAATTTCTCCGGATCCCGGCTTAATGACCAAGATTCTAAGCGATCGCGCGTGTGATCGAGGGTCCTGAGTTTGAATCTTGCGTGTAAGATTGTCGATACGCACCGCTGACGAGCTCTACTGTATGACGAAGTGGCCGTTCAGTGCTTCCAGGTTTTCAATGGTGGTCTGACATTGATCGGCTCATGATCTGTATTATTGATTGAGTATTACCATTAATCATAGTGAAAAGATACAAATGAACGTATAAAAACTATTTGAAAATATCTTTCATATTACTGATTGAAAAGTAAACATATTTTGTTACGTTCTACTTACTTTGTAACACCTCATTGATATGCTATCCAGTCTTTGTATGGAGTTTAAATGGGAAAAATCTATAAACATCTACTGGTTATGAACTCCGATAAATGAATATGTAGACAGCTTATATCACTGACCAACTTGGATTCAATAATAATTGTGAATTGGGAGCACGGGACAGATAATTTTTAAAGTATAGGACTAGTTAGTGACCAGTCTAATCTAATGCCAACTCAGTCCTACGATGCTAATATACCTGCCAAACATTCTAAATAATATAGGGCCCAACCTTAGATACAAGCTAAAGTTACTATGTGATTCCAACTTTCTTTAAATTGAACAATATTTACAAATCTTCCCTCACATATTGACTGGTTTTTTAATCTTAACTATGCACTTCATTAAACAGTCAAAGATTCTCATCGAAGCATTTATTCTTAATTAGAACATTTTAATTATAACAATGAATTATGACAATTCAAAAGTATAATTATCATTATTTTTCTGGAGTCGGTTAAGATATATCTTCCCGTATACTTAAAATATCAAGTTTAATATTCAATGACTTGAACCACTTACTTAATCGTTTGTAAACAAATCAATCAAGCATTTAGTTACCATTGTTATTATTATTTTTCAAATCAGAATTGAATTTTGACTCTTCCGTCTGAGTCGATTAACCATGGAATACAAACAAAATACATTTGACAATATTTTGTTTTCAAATGGAAAAAAAGAAGGAAATTTTCATTTTTGGATTCTATATAATACTTGCCTTTAAGTACGCTTGTTACCCCTCGTGGAGGAGCACAGGTTGATCACCAGCACTCTCCATCCAACTCTGTACTGGGCAATCCTTTTCAGTTGCATGAAATTAGTTCCCTTTATGAATTAAAAATAAGCCAGAACAAATATTGATGCAAAATAATATTAAATTCATTATATTTCGTGGTTTCTCGTCATCTGCTTAAAATCAAATGTGTATTAGAATTTTACATAGAGATAGAAAATAGTATGGAACTATAGACATAAGTGAATGTAAAGGATTGGAATAACAAAGGTTATCAGGATTCCAAGTTAGGGCTTGCCTCGTGATGCAGTTTGATGATTTCTGAAATGTGTGTCCTATCCACCTCCAACGTCTTTCCCTAATTTCCTCTTTATCTGGTAGTTAGTTTTTCCTCTCCCACCGAAGGCTGTTGCTAGTGGTATCCGGCCAACGGATATTGAGTATCTTGCATAAACGACCACCTATGAATACTTATACCTTTTTGATGATGGTTATAGTAGTTCTCTACGTTTCAGTTCCGTATTTTCTTTATAATGGTTAATAAAATTAAAACGTTAAGATTGTGTATGTAATAATTTTCAATTAAATAAATAAGTTTCCAGCTTTTAATTTTAAAATGGAAAACAAGAATATACTGAAGTATTATATTATTCATTTTTGTAGTGATATAGCAACTCTAGTACAATTAATTTTGCTTACGGTTAATTTTAGTCATGCCTTTTAGTTAACTTATTTAGCAGACAGTGTTATTTGAACAGTAACAACTTGTTTCTGTTGAAATTACTCCAATCTCCACAAAACCGCTTCTGATACTAATCAACATATTCTCACTAGAGACTGTCTTCAAGAGGAGTTTCCTGGAGTTCTAATGAGAAGCCGTGACCAATAGAGTTCAACCAGGTCTGTTGTGAGATAGTAACTTACTTAAAACAATGATGGATGTGTCGCTCAATTTCGTTGATTAGTTGAAGTTAGACAATAACGCCGTTGGATGCCGGCCAGATCAGTGGTTTAGAGGTTAAGCGCTCGCGCGCGAGACCGATAGGTCTTGAGTTTGAATCTCGCGGGGGCAGGATCTTGGATGCGCGCTACTGAAGAGTCCCTTGCTAGGACGAAACGGCCATCCAGTGCTCCCAGGTTTTCCATGGTGGTTTAGCTTTAATCGACTGATCATCTCAACTATTGAAATTATTTCTTTGTATTATTATGATCACTATCATGTCTGTATAAACTCGTATACTTGAATCTTATATATTGCCTTCGCTTTGCTTCGATTCGACCATAAATCCGCCTCTGTATTCGCTCTCTCACACACATTAGCCTCTCTGCTTCATATTCGCTTGATGCGCTTGTAACTTTGTTTTATGTGCTATACAATAATAAACTGTAGTTAACTCTTTTTGTTGCCTTCTGAATCTATGCCCTGTTGAGATTTATTTAATAATGGTTATCACGATGAGTTATGAACAAAGCCAAGCCATCACAGTGATACTGTTTTCGGCTTTATTAATTAAACTCATGAATCTTCACAGTAGCATGTTAGACAACATGTAATCATTGCTCATCAATCTTTTGATCGACACAATGGAATAGTCAGTATGAGGTTATGGAGATTGTTGGATTTCACTTAAGTCACGAATAGATCTAGGTTAGACAATCATTGAAAACCTAGGAATAATGGATAGCCAAGTCGTCCTAGCATGGAACTCCTCACCAGTACGGACTTAAAGTCATACAACCAAGGATAGAATTTTTAGATCTTCGGTGTCGAGCGCGAACGATTAGTCGCTTGATTAATGAATCCAATTTCAATGATGTACAAATCTAGCTTCCAAATAGCAATGTAATCACTAGCTCATGGTACCTCACACCATTATAGTTACTGCAGTGCAAGTTCAACTCTCAGCGAAAATATCAGTTTTCTGGAGAAAGGCAAACCTACTGATAGGTACTGACTAGCATAAGGTGAAGGTTCATAACTTCCAAATGATTGATTTAAACCGAATGGACTTAAGATGCGTTGCAATTTAGAGTCATGTAAACTAGTGAACATATGACTGTATGATCGGTAAAGTTACGTCACTACTCTGAAATAAACATCATAAAACTAGTCATTACAAAGTGATCAACTTTGGTAAATTAGCAGTTTTATCTGAAGTAATAGTGTCGAGCAATGACAGTTAAAGTACCTAACATAGATACTTATCCTTTTAAGGTTATACTAATCCATTACTGAAAACAAGGGTAAGACCTTTCTTGTTCTATCTCGGCATTTTAACAAATATTTCAAAAGATTTCAATGTTATCTTGCTTAAGTAAAAATAAATTTATGGTACATGGATTGAATTTTGATAGACAAATCAATAATAAAAGTAGTTAGTGATTTAACTCAGAGAACATTGTTTACCTAATCGATATATCGACTAATTTAATCATTATTTTGTTAATTCTATACCGTATTATATATACATATACTTTAAGGATAAGGTGATGATTAATTTTCAACAACTGACCGTTTTTAAGATAAACATATACTTATTAATTGTTAAACAGGTTTCGTTTACCTATTTCATTTTCAATAGGTCATTTATATCTATTTATCAAGATAAGGTGATAAAAAACATCTTATTTTCTGGGTAACAGTTACTAATCGGCATGATAACATTCGAGAGAAATCTAAGTTTATGTATACATACATATATATAACAATCGTTATTCCAAATAAGTATTAGTTGACCTTGGGTTGGCATCAATCAACCGCGTGATTCGTTATTATTCGGTTCAATTCAGAATCAAAAGAAACTAAGATTGTTTGATATATATATATACTTCTGGATTTCATGTTAATCGGTTCTATCACAGAGGAAAAAATCTAATCATCTACTTTCTTGTGTAATTAATTTAACAGTTAAATTCACAAAATGATGTAAGCTAGATCATCATTGAAAGCCTGGGAACACTAAACGGACTTTTCGTCTTAGTATGGGACTCCTCAGTAGTGCGCATCCATGCTCGAACATACGGGACTGGAATCTGAAACCTTCGATCTCTCGTGCTAACACTTAACTTCTAGACCACTGAGCTGACCGACATCCAACAGTGTTCATGTCTAACTTCAAACGGCTGTCCAGTGTCCGCAGGCTTTCAATGGTGGTCTAGCTTAAATCAACTAGTGAATTCGAATGAAAATTCTACAATCTTCACAAATTCCCATACTAAATTAAATAATTCATTCATTCTATGGAAAGACCAAATATTGACATCGGTCTCTGGAGTAAAAGAATTCAAATCAATTACACGTGAATTCGATTCTAATAAGTCTTTTGAAAGAACTTCTATTAATCAAGTTCGACACCTCACTCATAATTCTTAAAGACAGTAATACAATCACGTAGTCAATCGTAGGTGTTCGTAAAATAACCTTATTTACGGTTTTATTAGGCTACTTAAATGTTTCTGATGTGGCTAGTAATGAAATCTAGGACGCATCAGGTAGATGTACTGGACTTAATATTCACCCCAGGATTTGATCCTCAATACGTTATTCATTTAGCTACTGAGTCCAGATAACCAGATTTATATTAGTCTTCTAGATCTTCTCATTTTTAATCAAGAAGAATCTATTTCGGTGTACCTTCAATCATTTGATATCAAAATATAGTGCATGTGGCGTCATATCATTTAAACAAGCCGACACATTGTAACTTGATCAACAGCATCCAACCAACACTAAGAATCAGACAAATGCTACATTGGCCATTACTCAATGATCAATCAATCTTCAACAATATTTTATTTAAGTTAACCAACTGAATGATCTTAATGTTTAAAGTTGAGCAAGGATAATCTTTATACCCACTTAGGAAACAGCTGATGTGGCTAATTTCGGCGCCAATAGATGGACTAGTTGTTTTGTAAAAAATTGACAAACTGGATCATCATAAAGATGACAATCTGCACAAATTCCTAACAGTGATAAAATAAACGTAATTATTAGTTGCTGATTTCCAAGGGTTATAGCCAGAGTTTGGCTATAAAGACGTGATCACTGGAGTTAGACAATGTCGGGTTTGAAGTAGTCACCCACTAATGAGATTGAGGGATAGTTGCACGATACGGTGAATTAATTGAAGTTAAACGTGTAAACTAGCGACCAGTTTCAGAATTAGGCGCTTACTGCAAGACCCGAGTGTCCTGGGTTCTATCCTCGACAGGGTCATAAATGCCCACTATTGAGGATTCCTATACTAGAACCAAATAGCTCCTCAGGGTTTCTAAATTTTTACATGTTGTCTACGGGATGTTAATCCTTGATGTAAACTGTAGAATCCAACAACCTCCACGAACGCCCACACTATTAAAAGGAAAAAATATGAGATATGGAAATGTTTTATGGTAGGTAAAGCATATATGTGCATAAATTAATGATATTGGTTATGAATTTATTAAATATCCTCAATACATAGTGTGGTGGTCGGTGTTCGATATATTCCTTAAACTCCGTATACAGTTCGTCTCGGTAACCGTCACCAAATAATGCTCCAACGGTATATTAATCAGAAGGCGAATACGAAGCGTTAATTACGTTTATTAAGAGACCACACACAGATATCCAATATTACAGATGCGTTAAGCAAGCATGAAATAGTTATGCCAAAAGGCAAACAGGCAAGCGAGCGGGTGAGAGAGAGCAAGGACAAGAGCGAGCGATCGAGCGAGTGAATGAATTAGCGAGCGAGTCATGAATATGAATAACATGGACATATATATACATAGTGAAATTAATGAATCATCGAGTCAATTAAGCGGTTAATAGTAAAGCTAGTAGCGTGAATAAATACGTAGGCAGTAAGGCTTGCCGAGCATACATATTCATACAAGGATAACAATAATAAAGGTACATACATACGCAACAGTAATAAGGATACAATAAGTTATTATAGTGCAGGTGACTTTGTCCGTTTAATAAGTTAATAAAAGGGCTTAACCGAATTAGGTGAGAGCAAACTCAATTGAATGTGAGTTGCTATAATAGTTTAGATTTCAAATTAAGAGGGTTCAAGGAATTGTTTTCATTGTTCGTTCAAATACTATTACTCACACTACTACTATAATTACTAATTTACTTTCTGTTATAAGTTAAAATCAATTCTCAAAAAGATGTACACAATTATAATCTGTGACAGTCTATGAAATTTCTATAAGATACGTTGTAGATCACCAACGTAAATGATCTTTGTCGAATGATTGGGACCCTAATCGAGTTATACAGGAATGGTATGATGAACCAGTTAACTTCGAAGTCACACCTCGCAATCAGCATCTAACGTGGATTACACCTTCGACGTATCAAAGTACTATGGTTGCTTTGAAAACCGTATAACACAAATAACTTTATTATGAAAATGCATTAGTAAGAATGAGTACAGAGAAGATAATAATAATTTATATATTCTGAAAAAAATAATTACAGAATTCACGCCAGTTTACAGGCATGATCAATTTGATATAAATAGTAATATTATATGTACAGAACAAACATGTGATAGAAGAAAGTTTTAAGTATACTAGTTCAGTATTTGTTTAGATAGTACATGTATTACAGCGATCCAATCCATCAACCGGAAACTTTTAATATTTCTTAAATGGACCACCACTGCATTGGCCAGTCTATGACATACGATTAACTGATGCTCGTTGACTGTCCTTGACTTTGACAAGGATCAATGATCTTTCCGATATTCAGGATCGTGTATCCTATGTGACCATTGATTTGGAATGTGAGTTTTCAAACTCTCCTAGGTGGATCTTTCATATCTACCAACCTGGTTAAAGCGCCGGACATTCGTTTTTCGTCCTCTTTATTTCGTAAACAACACACCCACCACGAGAAGGCAGTGAGTAGGACTTTCCTGGCAGAAGCTATATACGCGTGTCCATGTGAGAGCATTTCGAGAGGGAAAGTGGGCTTTCCCCACTCTCGGCCGTACCAGGGTATTTGGGGGCCAGCTGCCAGGTGATTTAACTAGTGCTCAGTAACATCTCACTGGCCCTACAACGTCAACTGACCAACTAATTACTAAATTTGAAACTGTTCCATTTACAATATTCTTATTCGATCAAAACAATCCACAAATTACAGACAATCTTGACTAGTTATTAACAAATAGATATTTGATTCCATTCGATTGATGGATAATAGTTAACTGTTCAAGTGTTAATTGTATACTGGTAAAATGATTCAATAAAGGCTAATAAATGAGATTTCAATTACTCTACTAAGATTCCTATTAGGCCTGTTGTAGTTTTATGTAATTTAACTATCTGTATGTAAATAAAGTGTTTGATGCTGGTGATTGCTTCAATTCTTTGAAAATCAAACTGTATAAAGACAAATTAACCAATAAATAACAGATTTTTTTATAAGCAAAGATGAATGGTGGTTAGCAATGGAATCCAGAATCTGCGATTCGTCTTATTCGGGACTAGTTAGCTGGATGTACTTGCATATAAGAGTTGATATTTACTCTTAGACTCGAACCCAGTACTGCTTGCTTCAAACGCCATCGCTTCATCCGCTTAGCTGCTGAGTCCTGATATGCTACTAGCCTGTACAATTCGGTGAAGTTTAAATTCATTTTTATGCAGTTTATGACTTAAGGCAATATCGAGGCAATCCATTTTGGTCGCATATATGCCAATAAGAGACTGATCAATTAGTCCTAAAAATCGATCAGAAGATTTAAACAAACAATACAAAAATAGATTACAACAGATTGTCATATGGGATGAGGTAATTTTACATCGCTCCATTACATATTGTAAATCTTTTCTCCCTTTTTTTGACAAATACCCTTAGTATCAGAAGTTTTATGGAAATTTTCAGTAATTTTTTATAGTTGGATTCATAAGTCAATTGAAGCTAGACCACCATAGAAAACCTGGAAGCACTGGATGTCCATTTCGTCCTTTTGTGAGACTCCTCAGCAGTGCGCATCCATGATTCCGCCTCGCGAGATTCGAACCCAGGACTTCCGGTCTCACGTCCGTGTG